TAGTCTTCTTATTCTTTTATGGCGACGAGTCCCTTCAGAACGTAGGCGATCATGGCCCTCCACATCTTCTTGTCTCTTGTAGCCCTTAATAAGTTTTGTCTTTTTGTTATTTCTCCTGAACCTTGTTCTACTATCCATTTGCATAATCTCATCAAGTACATTACACGCTGCTTTCCTCTGTTCAACTTCCCCTTAATCAGTCTTGTGCGTATCAGGTTTGCTAAGCCCTCCTTCCTCATTACCAGTCCCAGAAATTCCAACTGCCTCTTCCTGATGTTGAGTTTCCTTTTTGTTTCCATTTTCTTCAAAACTTCGTTGTTGCACACATGTTCGTTCCATGGTATTCTCAGCATCTTTCAGTAGAACCACATTTCAGTTGCTTCATGTCTTTTCTTCATCTTTGAGGAGATTGTCCAGCATCGCTGCCATACAGAAAGACAGGTATCACGTAACAACCCAGTATTATTTTCTTTGTTTCTAATGAAGTTTTTCTGTTTCTTAATACTCTGCTTAGCTTTTGGAATGCATCTTTGACCATCCCAACACGTCTTCGGATCTCAGTGTTGCCCTTTCTGTCCTCTGTTAGAACATTTCCCAGATATTTAAATTTCTGTAGTTATTTAATTTTACCATCCCCGGTTTGTAATTTATTCATTTTGGGCTCATCCTTTTACTGATAATAGTCTAATGTTAAATAAAGGGAAATGTGTTGGACTGCTTTCGCTAACCTTCTCCAGGTTGCTGCCCACAGCTAAAAAGCTCAGTCTACCCTGCTATCTCACCCATAGCTGAGAGTAGGAGATATAAATACATGCCTTTCCATTTGTCGTTAGTTCGAAAGTGAACGAAACGTGCTTGCCAGGAATATGAATCCGGTTATCTACGACATAAAGGTGAATAAAGTTTAAATAGCGGATTTGGGTTTCAGATGACGGGAACTTAATTGTTTTTTTTTTCTTTCTATTAACAAGGTTTTTAATACTAGCATACAAAGATAAATAAAGTTTAAATATAGGTTGGGCAATTGACGCACTTATCTGCCTTGATATTTACCAAGTTTCGCCTCTTACAACTCATAGTTAGGTAAAGATTACATTGACGTATGGAGATTGGGTATTGTCTTTCATTTGAGGAGGGCCTGCCTGTCTTGATAGTTACCAAGTTTTACCTTATACGACCCATAGTCAAATAAAGATTACATTGACGTATGGAGATTTTTGTGTAATCTCTGAAACGTCAGTCGTTCAGTTATGTGCCACGCGTGATACACATTTAGGCGATCATTTATCTTTCGATTATATGACTGACGAGGCAAGTAGGTTGCTATTTGATTTTGCGGTAGACCAGTTGCTAAGGCTACAGAACCCGGTCTATCCTGCTATTTACCGATAGCTGGGAGGAGAAGAGAATTCATACCTTTCTCAAGGGTATAAGCACGTAAGTGAATGTAATGGATCCGACTGGAATTCGAACTCTGTTCTCTCAATCCGAGCTGCTATCTATTACTCCATCTTGCTCCTCTCTGAAACGCTGGTATTTTATATCAGTACAGCCTCTCGGACCGCATTCTGATCATAAAATTAACATTTTGTAATCCAGTTTTAAACAAAACCATTTCCGGGTTAATCCTTCTTCCAGCTGTATTTATTTGAATCTTAATGCTACGTTATATGGCTTATTAAGGTGATTGTTCGATGGAGTTCGCATTCATTTGGTTGCACCTGCTTTCTTTGGCATTTCTATGAAAATAGGTCTATTAAGACCTTTCGGTATAAGTTGAATAAAGGTTAAATGGGGGAAGTAAGATCATAAGAAGTCATAATTATTATTGAAGACCTGAACACCAAAGTAGGCAGGGAGAGGTCAGGGGTGATAGCTAGCAAATTCGAACTAGGAAACCGCAACGGACGTGGAGAAAAATGAATCCAAAGGTGCACGGCCAATGATCATGTAATAGCGAACACATGGTTCCAAAACATCCGAGATGATTATAGACACGGAGAAGCACAGGAGGAGAAACTAAAAACCAAATTGACTACATAACTATCAATAAAAGATTCAGAAATGCAATGTTCCACTGCTAGACCTACCCAAGTGCCGACTGCGGAAGCGATCATCGCCCTGTTATAAGTAAACTAAGAGTGAAACTACGGAAACCGCTTAACGCAGCATCCAAATTGAAATACAACAAACTCCTGAGCAACCTGTACCTGAAGGAATAATATATGGACGGTGTGAAAAGAACATATGAGGGAGACGATGGAAGTCGAAACTCGAAATGGGACGCACTAAGAGAAGCTTTAGTGACATCAGCAAACGATATCATCCCAAAGGAGAATAGACGAAGAAGAAAAAACGAATCGACCACTGATGAGTTTATCGACACGATGCAAAGGAGACAATTAAAGGAACAGAATACAGAAAAATACACAACAAAAATAAGGAGCCAATGCAGGCAGGCTAAAGAAGAGGGTCTAAAACAAAACAATATATATATATATATATATATATATATATATATATATATATATATATATATATACAAAAAAGAGAGATTGAGTTCCACAAACTAGGGGGATATGCTTAAACAAATAAGGGAACTAACAGGGCAAAAGACATGCTCGTCAACATGCTGCATAAAATCGAAGGATGGGACGCTCATATTAGAGAAGGGAAAAATTCTTCAGCGTTGGAACGAATATATTGGAGAACTCTTCCACGATGAAAGAAAACAACCGACAATACACAGATTTACTGACGAACCTGAAATTCTAGAACCCGAAGTAGAAACTGCAGTGCTCAAATTAAGCAGAAACAAGGCGGCAGGGCCAGACAGAATTGCAACGGAAATTCTGACAGCCTTAGATAATTGTTATACCGGAACATACCTATTCTATTGTTAATAGACTCTCCCACAGATAATAAGTAGTAGTAGTAGCAGTCACCAGGGAGCTCAGTGGAGTTCAGTGAGTCAGTCGATGTCGGACATTAAGGTATGAACCACCACAACTAGATTGCTGCGTCATTAACTATTATTTCAAGTTCCTAACGTTTTGTACGTCGAACCCCTTTTAGAACCGACTTAGTGAAATACAAGCCTCCACTGTGAAACTACTCTACAACAATAATTTTGGCATAGACAAGATTACAAAAATAATAAATGAAATCTACACGAATGTGAACTCCACCGAACAATCAACCTAATGAGCCACATAACAAAACTCATAATCCGAATTCTGATAAATAAAACGGGCAGCAGAATCAGGCCAAAGATAGGTGTGGATTCGTTAAAGATACCGAAACAAAAAATGTGATATTCTTGCTCAGAATGTTATCAGAAATGCAGAAGGACGTTCAACTGTGTTTTATAGACTACGCAAAAACGTTCGACAAAGTATTCCACAGAGATCTGTTGGGTCTGCTCAGCAACCTTGATATATTTTGGAAAGATCTTAGAATAATCAAAAATCTATATCGGCAGCAAATGGCCTGCATACGGATAGAATCCAGCAGATATACAACAATAGAAAAGGGCGTAAGGCAAGGATGCGTCTTCTCACCGGACTTGTTGAACCTATACAGTGAGGCAATTCTGAGAGAACTAAAAGTCCGATCAGGATTCATCATTGACGGCCACAATCTAAATAACATAAGATACGCAGATGACACAGTGCAGATAGCGGACACGGAAAGGAAATTACAAAACCTCCTACAGAAGATAGCGAAGGAGAGCGAGAAGAAGAGACTAAGCATAAACTTCAAGAAGACATAATGCAGGGTCATCAGCAAAAAGATGAGCCCAAATGCGATTTACAGTTCGAGGACACTAAAATCAAGCAGGTGTGAAAATTTAAATATCTGGGAAGTGTTCTGACAGAGGACAGTAAGTGCGACGCTGAGATCCGAATACGTATTTGGATGACCAAAGAAGCATTCCAAATGCTAAGATACGAGGATTTTGTTGGTAACAAAGAAAAGAGTACTGAACTGCTACGTGATATCTGTCCTCCATTACAACAAGGAATCTTGGAAAGTTTTCTCAAAGATGAAGAAGAGACTCGAGGCAACAGGGGTATAGTTCTATAGAAGAATATGGAGGATATCATGTACCGTGCGTTTGAGTAACGATGAGGTTTTGGAGAGGATGCAAACAAAGAAGAAACTTATATTTAACATCAGGAACAGGCAGCTGAAATTTCTGAGACACTTAATGAGAAAGGAAGGCTTGGAAAATCCCATACTCACAAGGCGATCAGAGGGAAAGAAGGACAAGGGAAAGCAACGCGTGACACACCTAGCGGGATTAAGCAAGTGGATGACAGAACAGGGTCTGAGAGAAGTAGCTAAAAAACAAAACTTATTGGAAATTACAAGGGATAGGAGAAAGTAGAGAGCTATGATCACCTACGTCCTAAAGGGACACGACACATAAAAGAGGAAGATTAAGTTTCGCCAAGCTTTAAAATAGCGAGAGTTTTGTCTGCCTTAAAATTTACAGAGTCAACTTTTGAGGTAGAAATCTTAAGAACGATTCTATAAGTGTAGGAGAATTGTGTCAAATGGGTTCGTCTGCCTTGAAAATAAGCATTTAAATTCTTCCTTTTTCCTTTTTTATCTGATGTTCGGGGAGAATACGAAAATTTATCTAAGCTACAAAACAGGACAGAAGGAAAAGTCATAACATTAATCAACTTTTTGTTAGTCTTTTTTTAATCTTGCTGTTCCTCTCAATTTTTTAGGTTGACCTTCCTCCTTCTGTTAAAGTGAACAGTTACATGGGAGTTAAAAATAGATTCTGATGAGATCTGAAAATATCTGGAAATTGTTTTTAAAGAACCACACCTTAACTAATTCAGCCACCCATTGCTTTAACAGCCGGAGAACATTCGGCATAGAAACTTGTGATAAAAAAGCAACAATAATATTAATTTTTTAAAGTTTCGCGAGATGGTTGTTCAAGTCACGCTACGGACGGAGGGATATCAGCCATAACAGTTGTAATGAAAAGCAATAGAATGATTTTATTGAATTCTATTTGCATCTCCCTCAACATATATCTTGTCTGTCTTTGTAGTGTCCATGTTTTCCTGGGGCTGTTTTTCCTCGGTCTCCATGCTGTCTTCGTGATCCTTCCTGGAGAAGGGTATATGATTCAATAACATTCTGCGACAAAATAGTCATCTGAGAAAGGTCAGCGGGTACACTATCGAAACGCTGTGAGATGCATACAAAGATGAGGAAATGAGAAAAACCACATAAGATGATTAAAACGCCATGTCTAACAAAATCCAGATAAGAATAACGTAAGTTCTACCAAGAAATCGTACGAACGATTAACGCCTGTTAATATCAAGGCACTTACACCACGTGGATATCGCAGGTTTTCAATGACACAAAAGTACGTTCTGCGAGAGAAATAAAAAGATTATGTTGCATTATCTCTTATGTTTGCTTTGAACTGCTTGGTTGATTTTGTTTAGCGGCATATTAATTTTATACCTTCAAGTGCAGATATTTTTTTTTCATAATTTTACACTTTCAGGGCAAACTTATGTTTTTATAGAGATATAGTTTGTAGATGATAAAATGTATTATCGGTAATTTGTTTTTGAAAATGTATTGCTGGTAATTTTACTATAAAATGTATAATTGGTAATAATTTTTGTTTTTATAAAATGTGTTGCTGGCAATTTTACTACAAAAATGTATTGTTGGTAATTTTTTTAATAAAAATATATTGCTGGTATTTTTACTATATTTGAGGACCCTAACAGGGGATACAACCCCGTTTGCTGTGAAATCCAACTTTTGAATACTGTTGTTTTTTTTTGTTTTTTTTTTTTATTGGAACACGAATATCGATTGCTGGCTGCAAAGGTAGCTATACTTTTGTACCAAATGCAAGTACCGTTTTGTATAAAGGTGCCAGGGGGAATTTTTGAACTTATGATTTTCTTTTTTTATTGAATTTTTTTATTTTATTCTTAGAACAGAATAATCGCGGAGAATAAAAAAAAAAAAAAAGACTGTGTTGTGCGAGGGAGAGGATTGCAGGAAATAATTTAATCGTGCCGGCACTTATATTTGGCAAACGATAGAATGTTATTAAAAAATTAACAAAAAAGATTAATGAAGATAGAAGTGATAAATCAAGAGTTTGACGGATGCTTAAACGAAGGAAATAGAAAAGAAAGAAACGATAAGAAATCAATTAAGATAAAGAAAGGAGAAATCCGTGAAAAAAAGTGGAAGAAGAAAATGAAAAGGGGAAATAAAATAATGTGAATAATAAAGAGAAGAAGAATGAAAGAAAACGAAGAGGAAAAGAAAGAATAACAACAAAGTCGGGAAATAATGAATGGGAGAAGAAAAAAAAGGAGCAAAACTCTAAGAAAAATAGGGAAAGGCAATAAATAAATAAATTGGAAAATAAAATAGGAGGCAAGTAAGGACGGTTATCAAAATTGAAGAGACATAAAGCGAAACTGATTTATTTGTGATTTGGTCGAAACGGAAAAATCTCGTACAAAAGGGACGTTGAAAAGCTAAAAAAAAAAAAAAAAAAAGAAAAAAAAAGAAAAACTTAAGCCTTCACAAGCGGCTTCATTGCACGAGAGATATATGATGATTGAATGCTAGTATAATCAAGGGAGGCCATTGGATTTCATAAAAAACAAAAAACAAGCAAACCACCTAATATTTCCATTGTTTGCATTGAATTTTGGATTTACTTTTAAAAAAGAACATTACCTCGTTCTGGCTTCAATAAAGCAAAATGTATTCCTTTTTGCTCCGGCAATGATCTATGGTAGAAGAATTTTGAAGAAATCTCTCACAGCCTAAAAAAAACATGATCAGCAATGGAGTATGCTGAAATAGTGAATGAAGAATAGGATGTACTTTACATAATAGAAATGAATTAAAACAAAACCGATAAATTGTTTCTGCAAAATGCATAAAACGTGAAAATTGGGGTAGTACTTATAATAGTAGGCGCACTTGGAAAAGTATTAAAAATAGCAGAAGTGAATTTAAATGAACTAGAATGACGAGGAAGAATTATAGTGAAAGCGAATAAATAAATTCAGCTTGCGAATGGGCACTTGTTATATGTTTACACAAAGGTAGAAATACTATGTTTTCGTACATATTTCATGTCATGAAGCGTCTAACTTGGTTGTATCGAGTAGGTGGACGTAAAGTTTTAACCGATGTCAAAATTATGCATGAAAATATATACAATAATCAATACCCGATATTCAATCGATTTGCTTACTATGCAACAACAACAACAATAATAATAATAATAATAATGACCGCACTTGAAATTCTTCCAAAAACATTCGAATTCGAAATAGCTTAAAACAGTTCAGACCAGCGCTGCTGCGTGTGTGAAGATATTAAGATGGTGCTGGAGATTAACGTTAACTTACTGTCACTATGACAGCTAGCCACCCTAGCAGACAGGTATACTAAGAAACGAGTGGCCAACCACTATCT